CACCCCCCGTCTCACCCCCCGTCTCGATCGTTCGGTGTTGAGCGGAAAGGAAAGAAAATAAAAGCAACGAAGGATGAATTAATGAATTCGAGAAAAGGTGAAAGGGAAGCCTGGTGGTATGGGAGGGGGCTCGCTAGGGTCTTTGCCTTTTTATGCTGCCCTGACCGGCCTGCCTGCCCGGCTGGGGTGAGACCCCTCTCCACCCTGTGCCCTGAGTCGGGGTTGACTTGACCGAGAAAGAGAAGAGGAAGAAGAAGACTAACTGCGATCGCTATTCCGTCCGCCCGGTGGTCTGTGCGTAACGGTGGGGCCCATACCTTCCGGAGCAGGGGGGTTGGATGGGGGAGAGAAAAACGATACAATGACGACCCTGATGATGATGATGAGGCCCGATTGCCATTCTGCCTTCCTTCGCATCCCCCTTCCCCTCCCCATTTTCGGTCCATTTCCGCAGCAGCTGTTTCGGTTGCTCCTTATTCCCCGTGAATTCGGCAGTGGCGTCTCCGTTTTGCATTTTTGTCGTTTGGTTTGGCAGCCGACCTCGCGTCCATGTATTTCCTTTCAGAGGTCCCCCTATTTTTAAGCCGTGTAGATTATTTCCGCCCGCGGCATATGCCTCACGTTTTGCATTTCGTTTGTCCCGCGCTCAGGTGACATGGTCCCCGGACTGCCGTCGCTGTCGCTGCCGCCCTTCCACACCGAGATCGGCAACCGGACCTTCACGTACCCGGAGATGGTGCGGGAGCTGGGCGCCGGCATCCTGGTGGTGCCGCTGGTGGGCGTGCTGGCCAACGTGGCCATCGCCAAGGCCTTCGGTGAGTTTGAAGGGAGCGCCATCGCTCAGTCAGTTCGTTATTATGTGTGTATGATGTGTGTCTAATTTCACCTCACAACGTACTCCATTCGACTTCCATCGAGTAGGTCCGAGCCGTTTCAGACCATATGCCTCGTCGGTTTACCGTCGCCCGCCATATTGGCCGTCTGGGCGGAGGCGTGCCTCCGTGATCTAAAACTGGACCGCACCAGCGCCATTCATAGACAGAGGTGTGTGTGTGGAGGGGGGGGGGGCACTAATCGAATCTGGTTGCGCGCTGACCACGTACGTCTCTCTCGTCCCATGCGCTCGGTCACACACACACACACACACACACACACACACACACACACACACACTGCACCCAGAAGCGCACACCTCATGGGATTATTGGGGAAAAGTGGGAGGGGAGGGCAACAAGAAGAGTGCAAAGTGGGACTAAACCTCTGGTGCTCAACAGAGGTGTTGTGCACTTGCAAGTGCACGCCTACCAAGTTAAACACTTGCAAGTGCACACGTGTAAGTATTCAACTTTCAGTTGCAGACTTATAAGTGCCGTACCGCACGCGGTCCATTTATCTCCCATGCTCTGAAAACCCAACAGCATGACGCATAGTTAATTCGGTGCGTTCAGTTTAGCGGGGTTTGTTAAAAACTCTATTTGAAGTGTTGGTATTCAAGCTCGGAACCCCTATTACATGTAGGCTCGTTCGGACGAAAAGTTTCACAAGGAATCCGAAAATATATCACCGAAGTTCTCACTTTAGTTAATATCCCAAGAAAACGAGTTGAAGGCAGCATGCATCTCTCAATGCATGCATTAGATTTTTCTCTGCTCTCTCTCACTCTCTCTCACTCCCACGTGCCCAGAGCATCATTGGGGTGCATGTTCTAATTAGCTGGGTGTCGGCGCCACGTGCAGCGGGAGGCTTGACAGCAGACGGTGGGTATAAAAAATCACCCTCGCTCACTCTGGTGGGCGCCGAGCCGCAGCGGGGCAGAGGCGCTCGTATTATATCAGGGCGAGGGGGCCTTCTTCTCTTCTCCCGGGATGAGGGATGGCAGTGGATTAGTCGTGAACAAGAGCCTTTTGCCCTTTCTGCCCCCAAACTCCCCCCCCCCCAATACTGCTCTGCTCTCGCACGTCGTCGCCCCCACCATTACAGACGATGTCGATGAGTGACGTCTTGCGCCCCCGGTACTCAGCTCCCCCCCCCCTCCCCGTCAGCACACAATCCTCATTGCGTACTCATTGTGTTTTAGCCTCCCGTTCATCAGAATCGTATCGGGCGGGCTAATGTAAACAACCTGATGGACAAGAAGGAGATTAGGAGATTAGATAGATACTTTAAATTTTCAGGGTTTCTCGGCACTCCTGGAGAACAGAACCCGTACGGCTAATCTTCATTAACGGGGTGAAGTAGAGTCAGAAAAAAGGTGGCTGTTTGTAACGTGAAGACAATCCGTTTGTAGCGTGTATGCCGGGTTCCAGACGCTTGGTACGTACGCTCCCTACAAACAAACCCAATTCTTCGTAATATGAAGACCGTCAGACACTGAGACTTGATTAAATCCAAAATTTAACGTTTGGGCATAACGCAGTATAACGAACGCACTTAAGAACTATAGAACCTCATCTTTGTGCCGTCTTTCTCTGAACAACAACTGTTGGTTCC